AATACTGTCGTCTAACAATCCATCTGGAATACGCCACGTGTTGCCATATGGCAACGGCCGATATCGGAAGAACTATACTACTCCCATAGTTTAAGTCATATTTTATCCTTTACTTTAACGCTACTTTTGCCCTGTATATAGATGAAACAAAAAAATAAAATAAATAAAATTAATCTGAGACAATTTGTATGTACAATAATCAATGCACATCCAGAAAGTGTTGATAGAAATCTTCCAAAGCAGCTTCCTATTCCGCAGATGGTGTCATCTGACCGACACCCGCATGCTGCTAAAACAAGATGCTTACAAAACATATCTGTAATTATAAGTGAAGAAAGATCCTATCAGCTGCACTTGATAGTAGTTGGTTGAATAAGGAAAATGAATTAGCAACAAGAGTTTACGGTGTACATAGCTCAGTGGTTAACGCTTCTGACTTTGAACATCGAATTCGCAGGTTCGATCCCTGCTGAAGTCTAGAAAAAAGAAGTCTGATGAGGAGATGTGGTGATCTCCGAAATAGTGCTATAACTTCTACCGCTTAGACTTTGTTGCTTTTTCAATTTTTCCTACTAAACAATCGTGGTACAAAGCTCAATAAAAATATTAAAAAAGCAAGATCCTACGATTTAAGTGTTCTAAGGAAGTATGATCGAGTGCGCATTTCACAAAGAGTGGCAAATGAAAATGTTCATCAACGCGAGCATCGTCTGGAAGATTTGCGGCAGCGTGCGTCACAACGAGTGGCCAGCGAAATTAGTGAACAGCGTGAGCAACGTCTGGAAGATTTACGGCAACGTGCGTCACGAAGAGTGACCCTAGAGAGTGTTGAGCAACGAGAGTATCGGTTAGAAGAACAAAGGCGCCGAGATATAAGGCATCGCAGGGCTTTAAAACGAATTATTTACCTACATATAAATGCGCCGTTACTGTAGATGTGTCATATCATAAGTTAGGCCCATTCGAAATCTTGTGTATTCATTGCATTTTCATGAAGGACGTGTTTCTAATCGTATAAACATAAATTCTTTTGGTGACTGTCGTTTGCATTTCCGAATTGTAATTGAGCCACCACAAATTTCAAATGAAATAGTACGACTCTTTCTGTACCGGCACCAGCGTTGCCAGGTTGACGTTTTTAACGTCATTTGGACGTTTTTTGTATCCTGTTGACGTTTGGACGTTTTTTAACTTCCCAGGAATTTTTTTCTATTACTAAATCTTGTCAGTAAAATTGATTTTAAATTATTTTCTTAATAAATCTTTACAAGCTTTGTGTTTTGCAGAAACTGCTTCAAAAGATACTTATTCTTTGGACACAGATGACTTAAATATGATGCATACCAAGCGTACGCGCATTTTTTTTTTTTGATTCTTGGACTGTGTTCAAAGGCTGGTTGTGTAAAGGTTACGAGGCTTATTGTAATGTTTCCAATTGCTCATTAAAAGCCAAATCAGGAAGAGCTGTTCTCTTGCAACACGCACGCTCGCAAAAACATCAAAAAAGCTGTAGCAGCATAAAAAGTCTGAAAAAAGTAGGCGACTTTTTAAGACTTCATTGAAAATGTAATGAACGCAAAAAAGGCTGAAATATATATATATATATAGCCCCTTTAAAATTGCACATTATTGCCCTGAAATTTAATGGGCTATCAAACTGCATACTAAAAAAACTAAATAAAAGTTGAAAATCTAGCTGAAGCTTTGCCGATTTTTTATAATTTTTGCACAAAGTTTGAAATGTGGATTTATATTAGGGGTATTCTCTGAGTCTTGCAAAGCACTTGCAAGGTGCACGGATTGCACGGTTTGCAAAGCTGTCCCGTACGAAAACCGGTTTTTTCCGTGCAATCTGTGCACGGTGCAAGGGCTTTGCAAGACTCAGAGAATACCCCTATTTTGTTTGTTATATAATGAGCATTTATGGAAAAATAATAAACACTAATTAAACAAGGGAGAAACAGCAAAAATCGATCAAAATGGAGATGACTTAATCAGCTGTATGAATAAAATGATTTTTATATTATCGATCTTAAACCAGTTTATAATGAATTTTAAATGTGCAATGATATTTGCATACAATAAAAGTTTAATAACAATTTTTTGTACATTCATTTGAATAGGACGTTTTTGGGTAGGAAATGACGTTTTTTCAGACCAAGAGAGACGTTTTCTCATGCCGAAGACCTGGCAACACTGACCGCAGAAAAATTATCATTCAACGTTGAAGATGACAGAACCAGGGATGCCGTTTGTATCTAAATAGATCCAATTGGATACATTTTTAGACGAATTTTTGCGGGATACTTTTTTTTCCGGTCAGTATAAATGTGGGTACTTTTTTAAATAGGCCAAAATTTTATATTTCCTATAAAGTTTTTTTCGTTCAATAATCGATTTTCATTAAAATCGATGGAAGAAAGCACTACGTTTTATAAACGTATAAAGAATCGCTACTTAAGCGTGAAATTAAAGCATTTTATTTTTTGTGAACGAAGCAATGAACATATGAAGAGATCTCACCAAAATAGGTATAAGCGCAATTGCTTTAACTAGCTTAAAAGGATGCATTAAGCAAGATCTTAATAAACATATCGTCGTTTAAGGTACAAAACCGCGTATCAACAAAATGCAAAACCGCGTATCAGGAAAATGCAAAACCTCGTATGTGACGTTGCCTAAATTATTTTCTAGAGAGTAAAAACACTTATATTTCAAAATGGTTCTCTTTTTTATAAAGCAATCGCACTTCTGGCTAGTATATTTCAGGACGAATGGATAACGATTGAGCCAAGAGCTTGTGTGAGCAAATCCAATTTTTGGAATTTTGCAGAATGACGATACGCGGTTTTGTACTTTAAACGACGATATATATAAAGTAAATTAACTCTTTCTGTAGTAATCTCTTACATATCACATATTTTCATTTGTTAATTTAAAAAGATAGAAGATTTGAATGTAGTTTAAAAAAACTAAATTTGATTTATTTAAGGAAGCTTTTATGAATTTAACTGAAAAAATGTTGTTTATTTGCGCATATTGAGAGAGGTAACCAGATTCCTCTTTTAATGTGTGCAAATTTGCACGCCGTGTAATAAAATTAATCATTGCCTGTTTACTTTTACACATAAAATGTTTAAAATAAAGTAGTGTTTATTATTAGTAGGAAATCTATTTGTTGTTTGAAAATTTTTGCAATTTTAAACATTCTATATATGTGTATTTATGTGTATATTTTAAAGATCTGAAGTTCAAAATCAAACACTGAACATCGTATACGTATATTTATACAGATTCTTGTTGAAAAATAGATACTTTTCAGAAGTAGTTTAACATGCTCTTTTTAGTGTGTACTTGCCATTTATTATATTTACTTTGCAAAATACTTATGCACAAAAAAGTACTTTATAAATTTAAATTACAAATGTTTAGTTTTATGCACATGTATTCCAAGTCCTTAGGATGGGTTAAATTATGTCTTTTTCATGAAAATGTTTGGTTTTCTTACAAATTATGAGATGTATATGTAAAAAAAGAAAATTGGATACATTTGGATACTTTTCTGGCTTGGTCAGGGATACATTTTCTTGAGACGGCACCGCATCACTGGATAGAACAATAAATAACCACGGTATTTATAGATTCACTGCTTGCGGGCAAGTATATCATAAAATGAATACGATAGCTCACCCAACACAGATCGTAGAAGGTGACTTTGAACGGCCTCAATATGGCCAACTATACTTGGATCCTGAGGATGCTTTAAACGAACGAGTTAGTCATCCGCTTAATTATGGAATCTGTACGTCGTTGATGAAGTCGCTAGAGCACATTATCCGGGCGCATAATGGTCATGTACAGGGTTACATAATGATGCGAGAAGTAGAGCTAGAGGTTACACGGTTAAGTTCTGCACAAGTAATACGTCCGCCGCACGTTAAGCTTTTATTCAGACTACCAGAAAAAGCTGACCACAGAAGATATAATATACCCGCCTGTAATGAGGTTTGTGCAGTGTTTACATTTAATGCTGATCAAAGCTTTTCAGATAACTAGCTGATTGTTCATCAGCGTAATAAAAACATCATTGATTAAAAAAATATTGATAAACGTGTGGAGCCATTCACTTACCCGGCTGGCACGGACGGGTTTAGTATAGGGTTGCAACTTCAGACGCCATATGCTAGCCGACGTAATTTAACTCGGCTTGAGCTTGCGCAATACCGGCTTTCATTTCGATCTCAATTAATTAAATTTTTAATAATGGCGCAACCAATAGAAGGACCGGATGAACGAGAAATTTCATTTATGCACTTCATTTCGGTGGCAGGTTATTTAAGCAATATTTAGTGGACACATATATTCGTGTGAGCGTGATGATATTCAATGGATAAAACATAATCAAAATAAAATTCTTGAAGAGCAATACACGGGAGTAACGCGTCTAATTAATGAGCTAGCCGAAAAAAGGCATGCCGCAATTGGTGAAAAGATTATTTCACATTCCTCGTTTCCTGGATCCACAAGATATTATGGGCCAATGACCAGTTAACACAAACCAAAAGTGAAAGCTTTGGTTAAATACAACTACTGCTTTATCGATCACATGTTATATGAATGATGTCGAAAACCTCGATAATGATGTTTAACCGGCAAGTAGTGATAACCAGACATTGAACAACCGGCCCTATATCGATAATTTCGAAGATGCAATGGCTATTGTTCGACGGCTCGGATCACCAGATTTCTTTATCACCTTGACTTCAAATCCGTACTGGCCAGAAATCAAACAGACATTTCGAATAAAATTAAATGACGGGACCATATTGCAGCAGCTTCCACAGGATCGACCTGATATCGTAGCGCGAGTGGCCAACTTAAAATTCGCTCAAATTATAGAAGATTTGGACAAAACACAGATCTTTGGAAAGGTATCGGCTTTTGTATACATGGTTGAATTTCAGAAAAGAGGATTGCCGCATATGCATTTTCTTACTATTATGACTTCTGGTGACAAGATTCATCATCCAGAAGAGCTCGATGACTTGATTACAGCTGAAATACCCGGAAATCATGACTTAGGATTAAGGGAGCTTGTGCTGAAATGGATGATTCATAATCCTTGTGGAACTCTCAATCCTAATGCTGCGTGTATGACAAACAAAAATGGGAGAAAAAGATGTTGATTTAACTTTCCCAAATCATTCCAAGAAGTAACATATTTAGTTGATGATGGAAAACCGAATTACAGACGAGGTTACAATCCATAATTAGACCCTCAATGTTCGGAATTTTCACACGATCAAGCAGTGTATCGGAAAGACATAAATGGTTGTCGTATAACAAGGGACAATCGTCATGTCCTATAATGCATATTTATTAAACAAATTTAGCTGTCATATAAACGTAGAATATGTAGGTAGTATGTTGGCTTTAAAATATCTCTACAAATATATTTATAAAGGACACGACTGCGCATCGATTAAAATAGTAGCAGATCAAAGAACACTTATCCATATTGAGGCGAATACATACATTGAAGCACGCTGTGTCACACCTCCAGAAGAGTGCTGGAGATTATTTGGTTTTGAAATAAAACAAAAAAAGTCGTAGTATTCAACGATTGGATATACATTTACTAGGCCATTATAGAATCTCAAACTTAAACCAAGTTCAGGAAGATTTGGCAGATATTGGTCAAAGAGGATCTACTTTAGAGGCATATTTTAGTCATAACAAAAAAATTAAAGAACAAGGGGAACTATATCAATCAAATGAAAATGCTAACAATGTCAAATATCGTTATTATTGGCAAATGCTTGAATATATCCGATGGATTGGAAGGTCGAGCATAAATTACATTTCTCAACCAGAGTTTATCACTTGCGATTGTTGCTGTATCATGTAAATGATGCAACAAGTTTCGAAGACCTTCGAACTGTGAACGATATCCCGTATCAGATGTACAAACAAGCCTGTTTAGCCTGTGGACTACCCTACGACGATCAGCGATGGATAGAAGGACTACGAGAATCTGTGCTATCAAAAATGGCTGTTGCAATGCTTTTCATACAAATATTAATTTATGGATCCCCTGAAAACCCGAAGGGACTCTGGGAAACATTTAAACAAGATTTATCAGAAGATTTTATATACGCAGCTCGACGAAATGGGCAGCCAATTGAAAATGCTATTAAAGCACATACAGAGTTATTGCCCATAAATTAAACACCGAAGCAACAGAAGGTAGAAATTTTTAATATTGGATAAAAACGTTTAATTTTAAAGACATAGAGGGTGACAATATATAAAATAATTTCGATACTCCGAACACAGATGAATCAGCAGCCTTAGGTGAACAAATGTATCAATTACTCACAGAAAAACAAAAGGAAGTCGCTAATACTATTCTTCAGGCCGTGAGTGAAATAAATTCCGAAGGAAAATGCTTTTTCATTGATGGTCCAGGTGGCACTGGAAAAACATTCATATATAAGACTTTGTTCTACGTGCTCACTGGAAAGCAATGCAAAGTTAAATGTATGGCTTTTACCGGTATTGCTTCGATATTGCTGCCTAATGGTCGTACTGCACATAAGACATTTGGATTGAAAGTACCACTTTCACCAGGCTCAGTCTCAAGTATCACACCCGGATCACCAAAAGCCAGTAAATTAGCAGAAACCGATATTTTTCTTATGGATGAAGCTCCTATGCATCCAAAATATGGACTAAAAAACATTGACCAACTGTTGCGATCTATTGCAAATCCGAACGTTCCCTTTGGTGGAAAAATAATGGTACTAGAAGAAGACTTTCGCCAATGTTTGCCTGTGCAACCGCGAACAAATCAAAGTGAATTGTTAGACCTTTCTATCAAACGATGTCCCTTATGGTTACGTTTTAAGGTATTTACATTGGAAGAAAACATGCGTGTCGATATAGAGCAACGTGAATTTGCTGAATATCTGCTAAAGTTAGGTAACGGTGAGCGGCCATTAAACACGATGGAAGAAATTGAATTGCCAGACGATATCATATCAAATAGCAACCTAATTGATGAGGTGTTTGGAGACTGCTTTGAAAGTACAAATTATGAGGGGATGAAAAAAGGGCGATACTTGCACCTCTCAATAAAGATGTCGATAGAATTAACGACGCTATCGTTGCCAAACTTCGAGAATACAAAATCTACCACAGTCATGACTCGATAAAAGACCAACCTGGAGGAGGACTCCAATTCACAACGGACTTTCTTAATTCAGTCAACATATCAGACTTACCCCCACACGAGCTGAAATTGAAAACAAATTCGCTAATAATGTTGTTACGTAATTTGGATGTATCAGAAGGTCTATGCAACGGGGTAAGACTCATTGTGACGAGCATGTGTAATAATATAATAAAAGCAAAAATCGTTACTGGTGAACAATCTGGTAAAGAAGTACATATACCTAGAATCACTCTGGACTCGTCTAAAGGTTAACTTGGGTGTACAATGCAACGACATCAATTTCCGATAAGGACTGCATTCGCCATGACAATTCACAAAGCTCAAGGTCAAACTTTTGAGTATGTTGGAGTAGATTTAACATCGCCGATTTTCATACGACGAAACGTCCGATAACGAACTGAGGCTGATCGACTTCGCCAGGGCCTGAAACTTGGTAGTATATAGTACTGGGTTCTAGCATAAAAACGTCCATCAAGCCACATGGCTGTTCAGATCGAAACACGGGAAATTAAATTAAGAGTTAATGATTAAAAATAAATTAATCACTATTAACTGTAATCGGATTGAATTTAATTGAATTAACTAATTGATTAAAAAATCAATCGATTAGTGCCAACACTGCATGGGCGTAGCCAGGTAGGGGCAAGGGGCCCAAATTTTTGCCTATATAGAATAGTACCAGGAAATTCTAGCTCAATAATTTCGGTCCTCCCCTAACTTTCAAGTTCTTTCTATATATATATACTATATAACAAATTATACACTTAAGCTAACAAAATAATTAGTAAATTAATTAAAAAAAAGAAGATATTTCGGTGCAAAGCAACGACTATAAATTGTTATTTTGTCTTACAAAATTGCGGAGAAATATTACAGAGTATACGGAAAAGTTTACTTTTTATATTTTTTATTTTTCAGTTTTTATTTATTTTTTTACAGTCTGTTAGACTTATATTACAAAAAAGGTTTAACATTCATTTAGATTTAAAATTTAAATATTAAATATTAAATACAGTATGCTCTACGGAAATTTTTAAATAACATTATTTCTTTATAGCTGCAATTATTTTATGTCAATATAAAAGCATGCAATTTTCCGAAGGTTATGTCGACAGTTGGAAAGTAGAGTTTCCAATCCGCTATATACTTTTTGGGTTACTCCGTATCTTAATATCTCATGGGTGGTCGAAAAGGCCGAGTTTCCGATCCACCCAGTCGCGCTTTTGTGACGGTTGGAAAGGCCTAGTTTCCAATCCGCTCAGTTATTGTTTATTATCTAAGGGCTTTAATGTAGTCTAAGTAGTCGGAAAGGCCGAGTTTCCGATCCACCTAGTCTCGATATCTTGGTGGTTGGAAAAGCCTAGTTTCCAATCCACGCTTTTGTTGATACATCACTATCTTGTAGGCTGCGTTCTACAATAGTCATATAGCAGCCGCTTGAAAGGAGTCTGGTAATTCATTAAAGCACTTTAAGCCTTTATAAAAAATATTTTTTTTGTCCACTTCCGTTCTATACTTCGGTAGTCTGAAGCTGTTATTCTCTCTCAACAAATATGTATGGGTCTCATTTATATATCGGACATTATCGCTAAGATAATCCGGCAGGTTGCCGTTCTTAATATTGTACACAAATTTCATAGCGTGGTAAAAAACTTGTTGCTTCACGCTTAACCAATTCAAGGTTTCAAGCATACACCTTGTTGGTGTGTCGTACGGTTTGTTGAGGATGAATCTCATCACTCGGTTTTGCATTTTTTGCAGCTTATCTACATGTGAGTCCCCCGTTAGGAAGAAAATCGTAGGGCAGTATATAAAGTGCTGTTCTACTATTGTCCTGTAAACCAATGTTTTATATCTTCTTCCCAAGTACTTACACGATCTCTTTATAAGGGCAATTTTTTTAGCAATCTTGTTGACTGTATACTCAACGTGCTCATCAAACTTTAGTTTGTTGTCTATGTATATTCCTAGGTACTTGGCACTTTTCAACTCTTTGATTTTTAATTCACGGTTTATGGGATCAGCATTTGCCGCTCCGGAAAATACCATAAAGTTAGTCTTTTTCACATTCAGTTTGAGTTTATTTGAACACAGCCATTGATACAAAGAATTAAGATCTTCTTGCATTTTGACAATCGCATTTGGTAGTTCCCTATCACTGATCGTTAACAAGGCATCATCCGCAAAGAGTTTTTTTTACAATGTTTGAGAGAACTTTTAATATCGTTTGTATATATATTAAAGAGCAGGGGTGCCAAAACAGAGCCCTGTGGTAAGCCGATGTCTATGGCTATCTTACTAGACATCTTTGAATTAACTATTGCTTGTTGCCTACGATTAAATAGAAAGCTTCGAAACCAGTCAAGCTCAATGTTTTCTATGCCAATGTATTTTAGTTTATCCAACGTTCGGACCCTATCAACTGTTTCAAATGCTCTTTTAAGATCAATAAACACTGCTACTCCATTAAGGTGGCAGTTATGATCTTCTTTCCATTGAGAAAGCACCAGATTCAGCGCAGTCTCACAGGAATGTTTAGCTCTGAATCCAGATTGTACTTTTATGAGTATTTTATTGGATTCCACATAGTACTGTAGCTAGTTTTTCTTTACGGTTTCTAGCATTTTCTCAAAGCTAGGGAGAGTATTGATAGGCCTAAGCTCCTCAGCTTTAACGGTTTTTCTAACTTTCTTAACGGGTACTATTGATGAAATTTTCCATTCTTCCGGTACTGATCCTGTTTGGAGACTCTTATTTATTAGTAGGGCATATAAATATCCCATATAATCAGCAGAGTCCTTAATAACACCGTCAGATAGTAGGTTGTATCCCCCAATTTTCCACTAAAATTGTTTGGCAATTTGAAGAATGTCTTCCGTAGAGACATCTTCAAATTTTAGCGTACTTGTAGAAGCTCGTTGCTCAAAAAAGTCATAGTTTACACACTCTATATTGGTATGTATTTCCTAAATGCTGTCCACGAAAAAATTATTTAAGTTTTCAAAGCAGTTTACGTAGTTGGTGTTATGTATTATCACTTCTCCAATATTTTCTTTGACCTCCGTGTTATAGACTACCTTCTTTATGTACTTCCACATGGGTCGGCTGTCACCCTTATTTATTTCCACCTTATGCTCTAAGTAATTAATTTTTTTACACCTTACCATTTCTTTATACCTGCATCTCACTATATTATATTCACCCCAGTAGCCTGACAACACTGCTTTCTCATGAGATTTAGGTTTATACTTGTTCATCTCTGACAATTGCCTATCATACCATTTGTTCCTCTGCTTAATGCGAGTTATTTTGGAGTAAGTCAACTGCCTCACACATAATGCAATGAGTAATATATACCGTCCACATCGAAAAAACTTAAGTTCGAGAAATCGCACTGCCTTAGTAATGTTGTTAAGTTCTCTGGGTTATATCTCTCCCAGGATATTACTTATACCTCCTTAGCAAGTGGGTTTAGCTTATTGACACTGAGTCGAAAAATATTTGTTTCGTGGTCTGATATTCTATGATCCTCGACATTTTCGCATATAACTCGGTTATCATTGGAATACAACAAGCCGAGACGTGTTTCCGAATGTTCCGCCACCCTCGTATTAAAATTTAACAGCTGTAGCATGGCTTGTTGCAAGAAAACATCATTGAGTTTTCTACTGTAGGTTGATACTACGTTCATGTTTGTGTTAAAATCGCTAATGACAACAGTGTTCACAAAATTTTTCTGAGATTTCTGCTAAGATATCCTCCATATACTGAAAGACGTTGTGTACTGTGGCAGCACACCTGCAGCGTGCGGTAACCCCAAAAATGCCTCAAGCACAAATGCGACCTTGCGTTAGATAAAATACAAAAATTATAATCTGGCATAACCTTCCGCACTTCTGTCCTTTTTTCGTCTGAATTTCGTGCTGCTAAGTCGTACTTGCCTAGATACTAATAAAAATACTTAATATTAATTGATTAAACAAATCCTTAGTTTACTATTAAATAAAAAATAAAGCTTTGTATATCTTGCTACATCCATTTTTTCTTCCTTTCGAGTTTGAGAGGGATACTCTATTAAAACCCCCAAAGTGGGGACCCCGACGTGATCTCGTACTCGGGCAAGCGCGACAAGCACGTGTAAGCACATAACCAAACTTTAAGGGTAAGACAAAGCCGATCGAAAGGAAAGACGGTGGGTTGCCTGGAGGCGCAGCCGAGATAGGTGCACCGGCCGCAGCAACGGTCCCGCCCGCTAATACCATCGCGGTAGTGTATGCCAGGTTACTAGTACCGCCAATGAGCAACACAAATATTGAGGCCTGGTTTACTTCAATGGATTTTTGGTTTTCTGCCTTAGGAATCACGGCCGAGAAGTAAAAACGGAAACTGTTTTGGCAGCGCTGGACCCGAACGTCCTCGCTCGGGATGTCATTGCATCGCTACCGCAAAACGACAGGTTCGAGTATGTGTGGCAAAGAATTATCGAGCACTTCGCCGATAGCGAACAGCGACGCCTTAACCGCGTACTCTCAGAATTACCACTGGAGAATAAGAAACCGTCAGAACTGTTCTTTAAAATGAAGCGCGTCACTGGCAACGCACTCGGCGATACGGCGCTCAAAAGCCCCTGGATCAAACGTTTGCCGGAGTTCGCACAAACAGTCGTAGCAGCCTCATCCGGTACTGCGACCGAGTTTACGTAAATAGCCGAAACAATAGTGGATGCTATCGCGCCACTTCAAGTGAACCGCGTTAAGTCGACACCTCAAAATGAAGTCAACGAACTGCGTGCATTCGTAATGGAACTAGACAAAAAATTTTAAAAATTCGCTATTCGTTCGCGTTCGCGTAATCGTGGGCGGTCAACCTCTCGACCAAGAGCTAATGCACGAAACAACTCGCAAACAGCAGCAAGTTCACAAGAAACGTCATCTGTTGCAGCCCAAGACTGTTGGTACCACCAGAAATATGGCTCCGACGCTCGGAAGAGCCGTATACCGTGCCGCCGCAGAAACCACGTGGTTCGAGCGGTAGCC